AAACCGTTGAGATATATCACTTAATCAGTTGTTTTGAACATTATTTTCTAAAAGTAAGCCACGGACCATTTTAAATAACAATAACAACTGTTGTCACAGCGTTATAATTTCACTTCCTTTAAATTTAATTTGCTTGGTATAATAGCAGATACCTTGAATTGCAAAAAAATACCCGTGAAACAGTATCCAACAAAATAAGGAGACAATATTAACTACAAGTGGAAGTCGAAGTTTTGTAGTAATTATCACCCATACACTGGCAAACGCTGTAAAAGATAACTAAGATTTTGTGTTATCTTTGATACAAAAACAAAGTTTTAGTTGGGATAATACCAAGGCCTTTTCCGAGCTGTAAAAGAAAACGAAAAGTTTCCGACTCCCTGCGCGATACCATGGAACAAACGCGTTGCAAACCCTCGCGAAGTTCTTGGCGCGTCTGATGGCTTCTAAATATCCAAAGCATTAAACTAGGACACCTCGACGTGAGGTTGAAAGTTTGTTAGAAGTTTACGATTTGTTTTTTTTGTGTGCTTTTGGTTTCGGCAGACACTTTGGTCTGCAAAAAAAGGAGAAAACGTTCTTAATACATATGAGGGAAATCACTGACTCAAACGCTGACAAACTGAAAGGAGGCATCACGTACTCTATAAATTATCAAAGAAAAGACTCTGACAATCCATAGGCATTTATAATTCGTGATTTAAACAACTTTATATTTCCAGACACTCCCTAGATTTGACGATCAATCTTGAAAAAGCTTAATATAAAGCATCTAAAAGTAACTTAACCCGCTCACAGCTCAAGCAAGGCCACCATATTTTGACACAACAATAGAACGCTTGTTTCCTACCACGTGATCGCACTGCGCGAGTCGGGATCCAGTTATACGTGTCAGAGAAGGTCATAGTGCAGAGGCAGAAGTATAAAAAAAAATGTACTGTTAGTATCTTTGTCGTAATCACTAAATCAAAAGGAGGATAACGATATGATGGAGATTCTTGAGCGTTGGTTCTTCATGCTACAAATATCGAGAGGTTAGATCTTAACTTGCACCTTTTACTTGATATAATTTAATTTAGGGCTTTAAAAATTTTGTTGTCGACGGTATCGGGCTCTCCGCGGTTAACGGCGCGTCTGGGTCAAAATATTGAAAAATGTGATTATACGTACTGTAGTTAATGGACAATTTTAATTCCAATTTTGAAGTTACAAAACTTAGGAATTGTTAAATAATTGTAATTATAATATATGCTGTGCGAAGCAATTCGCAGTGAGATCGATGGTGACCATATGGGCACTGTCGAATGTTGTCGAAGATTGATCTTTATGATCACGCTGCCAGGGGGCGAAGTAAACCCCTCGATAATGGACTCATTACGCATGCAGTTGAGAGATTAAGGTTATGAAAATATCAGATCCACAAATACATGGCAGCCTATTTTGTAGAAATTCTTCCGACCTTAAAAAAGGTAAACTTATATTTTTTTTTTTTAGTTCGACACAATAAAGTCAAGGTAAATTTTTAAAAGAAAAGTTAACCGAGGCTTACATTACCAAGACAGTATGAATATAATATGTCAAGTGCAAAAGCCATAGTTAAGCAGAATGACGGAGAATAAGCTTTCTAGAAACTGGATTCTAGCGTCAGCTAAACATACATGTCCCCGAGCCGGATTTTCTGTCGTGTGCAATTCACTTATGGAAGCTCTTGCAGATTCCCGGGGATTCTCGGATATTTTCCCGAATTTCATGTTGTCCAAAGATTTCATAGGAAGTCACGATAAATCCTGAGAATTCTTGGAAATAGTTTTCATGGCTAAGTTTACGGTTCGTTTATTTTAATTGTTTGCATTTATGGTATACGATTGTATCTCTTATCGATGGCTTATCGCAGATCCTTATCAGGTGATAGTGTCGATTTTCTGGGTGGGGTTATTAACCCACGAAGGCAGGTGATTGGCATCGTTTGAACAATAGCATTGCTAATTTTTTTTAGAAGCTGTTTCTTCAGGGGTCCGTTGTTGTTTTTACTGTTGTTTTTGTTTGTTTGTTGTTGTTGTTTTTTTTCAATAACCGCGTTATAATAGACTGTTAGAAAATATACTTTGTTTAGATATTAAACTTTGAACTGATTTTTGAAAGTGTTTGTTTCCGACCAGATCCGTTGATTAGTGTGAAAGACTGTGGTTGGTTGACGATTTTCGTGGTTCTCATCGCCATTATAAAGCTAAGTTAGATTTTATTCGCTAAAACTTGGAGCTAATATCGTCAGTTATCGTCTAGTTGATTATTTCTTATCACTTAACTCGTGCGGTTCTTGGTATCAATACTGTATAGAGAAATCGAAAACCAGTCACGAGGAATTGGTGGTATATATATCATGAATTAAATTGAATGCCGAGTTATTGAACATTTTATTAATTCAAGCTTTCTTGGGCTATGCTCACACTTTATAGAATAACCAAGATAGTACGCGCGTTTTGATTGGTTAAAAACCTATGCTTTTGATTGTGCCGGTAAACTCATAGAAACGACCCCGTTTTACTTAAGGTTAATAACCCACGCGGGATGCTGGGAGAACACGAGAAAAGTTAAATATGTTTTAAATATCGGATTCGCTATTTTTCCTTCGTCCCTTTCCGCGCGCGCCTCAACCTACTAACCCCCAATCTTCTCTCACCCCCAAAACACATAAATCTAGCGACTGGGTACGAGTCTGATAAAGAAAGGTAATTTCGGTGAGAGTCTGTAACGGAGCAAAGCTGCGCAGGTCTCTATAGTGGAGAGTCACATATCGGATAGGTGTTCATACTATGTAGCAGATAGCTTATCGTGTCGACACAAAATCTATCTGGTATGGTGTGACCACAGCCGCTTTCATTTTTTCGCGGTGCGTGATGATAACTTACAGGCAAAATGAAATTATATCAGTGTGAAGATTAAAAAGGGTGCTAAAAATAAATATTAAATGTACTCAAATCCATAAATAGTAAAATGGTGACGAGCTGAGGCTTCACAGTTCATAAATATGTAACAAATTATCATTCGTTTGCGTCAAGAAACCGTTGAGATATATCACTTAATCAGTTGTTTTGAACATTATTTTCTAAAAGTAAGCCACGGACCATTTTAAATAACAATAACAACTGTTGTCACAGCGTTATAATTTCACTTCCTTTAAATTTAATTTGCTTGGTATAATAGCAGATACCTTGAATTGCAAAAAAATACCCGTGAAACAGTATCCAACAAAATAAGGAGACAATATTAACTACAAGTGGAAGTCGAAGTTTTGTAGTAATTATCACCCATACACTGGCAAACGCTGTAAAAGATAACTAAGATTTTGTGTTATCTTTGATACAAAAACAAAGTTTTAGTTGGGATAATACCAAGGCCTTTTCCGAGCTGTAAAAGAAAACGAAAAGTTTCCGACTCCCTGCGCGATACCATGGAACAAACGCGTTGCAAACCCTCGCGAAGTTCTTGGCGCGTCTGATGGCTTCTAAATATCCAAAGCATTAAACTAGGACACCTCGACGTGAGGTTGAAAGTTTGTTAGAAGTTTACGATTTGTTTTTTTTGTGTGCTTTTGGTTTCGGCAGACACTTTGGTCTGCAAAAAAAGGAGAAAACGTTCTTAATACATATGAGGGAAATCACTGACTCAAACGCTGACAAACTGAAAGGAGGCATCACGTACTCTATAAATTATCAAAGAACGCTTCTGTTGTTCTGGTTGGAGTTAGACTTTACCTGCGTTGCTTCCAGCTGGGACTCCAGCCGTTACCACTATCACAAAAATGCTTATCCAAGAAAGACCTATAAAAATTTTATTATTCACGTCAGCAGCGTTATTCTCAATCTAACCCAACTGGAAGTTTCATCTTATTTGCTGACAACATAACATTTTTCATGTGAACGAAGAGGTTTTTAGAGCCATACATCGTATACTTTCCTGTCCAGTTTATTCCCACTTGAGGTATAATTTCCAGAAGTATATTATTGGATAAAGGTACGTTTGATACGTAGTAATTTACTATATTCCAAAACCACGCGGTCCTAGCGCAGTTCACTAAACTTAAAGAGTTGTTACACCACAGAATCGAAGTTTAAAAACGCACAATTCAACACGGTAGGCCGGTTTTATATAGGAGAGTGAAGAAAGTATAGAAAGTACCAGAAGCTGAATCGCAAATGGACTTTTTTTGAAGTTTTAAGTGTATATAATATTATTTTTTAGAAGTACTAACATTTCACAGGGGTTTCATGACTTATTGTGCTAATTTTGTTCTATTAATTCCAGGCGGGTGATACGCTGTATGTTAGCCGGCTAAACATGCACAGCATGCATTGAGTCTTTTTATTTTATTACCATTGGCACACGTTTCTATACAACTTAGAAATTTACACTAATTTAAGTTCACCTTGGTTTGTGTATAAAACAACATTTTCACAAAATGAAACAGTCAAACATTACCAATCCAGTCTTATAGAGTTCAAAACAAATAATAGACAGTAAATAGAACTCTCGACTAGCTCTTTTTTGTTCCCAGAAATCAAGAAAAAGTTATTTTAGTCGAAAAAGGAATGCAAAACTAGAAAAGTTCGATGTCCTAAAAAAGGAAATAGTTATTCATCGTGATGAAGTAAACAAATAATAATTACTTGAGGTATCGTTTTTCTCACATGTGATTTTTACAATAACTCGAAGGGATTTCTTGCACGCTGAAGGCGGAGCTCTTTTCAATAAAGCCTTCGTTTATAACACCAGAGAGGATTTCTTTGCTGATTATCACAAATGTTTTGGATTTGTAAAATTTAAGGCATTCGGATTCCGAGGCGTTCATACTAAAAACGATAAATTCAGACGCCGTATTTAACTTGAGCCGAATCGAATTCAATGAACACTCACCCCAGACATCAATCTAAATTTATAACACAGTTTTATTAATACAATAAATTAGTTTAAACATTTACAAAACTATTTTTATATCGCAGTCATCTTAACAGCGTTCTTTCTTCAGATCTTGTGTCTTCTGGATAAAACAAATCACCTACGCATAAAAGCACAAAAAATAACATATTTAAAAGAAAATAACAAAATTTACGGTATAGATAGATCCGATAAATTATGCGTGAGTAAATTATGAACTTCGGCATTCAAATTTTGATATATCTATACAAAAAAATAGACTGCAAAACAGTCGGTTTTTTTTCTCAAAATCAGTAAAGAAATCGGTAAAGCGTGGCGTAAGAGTCTTACGCGCTGGAAGCGCGCGAGCCTCACACGCCCTACGGGCGTGCGAGGCGCGCCTCTCCCCAGTCTCGCTCTCTGTTATCAGCCTCATTCCAGACCTTTGGTTTGACTGCTCGCGCGTATTTGAATACGCAAAAATACGGACTGTTTTGCAGTCTAACAAAAAAATCTCTCAAATAGCGAGGCCGAAAGGACACGAATAAAGCCGTATATACAAATGGTATAATTTGTTTTCTTGAGTTTCACGGTTTGTTTCATTTTGATCCAATATAGCAATTGAGTTTCAAGAGATATCAAAACACCCGTAATCGAGTAGCTGCCTGATCATGTATTCTTTCTTACATAATTACATAGAAAAAGAGCTTGCTAGCGAGGAAAAATGTGAAACACAGATTCCAGGAAAATCTTGCCTTTGCATGTAAGAAAAGCGTAACATCACTCCATATTGCTGGCTTTCAGTGTCACGCCATCCAAAATAGATCAAAATAAAAATCAAAACCATTCGACATATAAAGTCCAGAACCTGGGAAATGAAAGGAGGTGAATATACAAAGACCCTCGCCAAGATTTGGGTCGAAGGAATAACTCGTATACGAGATATCCGAGGAAATGTTTCACCCAAATTTATAGAGCTTTGTATGGAGACGCCATGCTGGAGCTCATCCGGATGAGCTCCAACATGGCGGACCGAAACCAAAAGAAACACCTGTTACCGAGTTTTGCTACAAAAGCGTGAATTTACTCCTAGAGGAACTCATAACATTAAAGTAATACTTTTTCTAACACTTGAACTGTTTAGATAGCAAAATTTCTCGAAAAAAGTCACTTTTTTATCCTAAATGACATCTCTTTCGGCCGTCATGTAAATGCTGCGTCAGCAAAAGCTTAAAAATTCAAGGGTACTCTATTACAAAACCAAGAACCCTTTTGAAGCGAAAATTTGATGGAAAATTAGTTTTCAGCTGCTCTAAAACACCATGAAAGTAAAATCTCAGTAGGATCGATAGTTTTGTAGTTTGAATTTTAGTGACGTCATGTGAAAATCAACAATACCGTCCACTCCACAGCCGTTCTTTGTGCCGTCACGCAACGTTCGTTAGAGCGTTGCGTGACGGCAACACAAAGAACGGCTGACCAAAAAAGTGAAACGGGCTAATTTAAACTTCCGCGGAACAGTGTTTATTAAAAGAAAAAGGCCCACAATTACTGTGCAACAGTGCGTACTTACTGAACCGAAATTGAACCAACCCGTTCTATCTATTATTTTCACTGAGCCGCTTTACAGTTTGCAGCTGCCCATCATTTGTGGATCATTTCTTTTTATCGTAATTTTTGTTCCATTCAGCCTCGCTTAGATAGACTACATACACTTCAGTCTTTCTAGAATCGGTGTATTCAGAGAAGAAGACCAAGTCGACTCGTTTTCATGTCAGCGTCACTACTGACAGCTCAGATGACACCTACAATTCTTTCACATGACATATGTTATGTTCAACGCCTGATTTTTGTCGTAACATGATCTTCTCATACATATAGTGCTGCATTCTTCGACTGGTTTTCATCGCTTAGCAAGGATCGGTAGGAAAGTACAATTTTCATAACATTAGAAAACAGCCGACATTTCGTGACCACACCACTAGTTTCCCCTCGAAATGACCTCTGAGCCGAACGAATGCAGAAATTCCATACTGGTGACGTGTCACTACCCATATCTAGGTAGTTCTGCTGATTGGTTAAAGCAAATGTCCCTCTCGCCACGACTAAGAAGCACTTCTCAGACCGGGGTAGTTCACGTCATCAGTATGGAATTTCTACGCTCATTTCTCAGACGTCATTTCGCGGAGAAATCAGTGGACGTCGCGAAATGTCGACTGTTTTCACAGGCTAATTTTCTAAGCCTTCTAAATTAACTAACCATTTTCGTAGATATCATCATAATATTTACGAACGTCCTCTTCATTAACAAATTTTGTTGGACTATCGCTGTGTTGGTTATTTTGGGCCTGACGCAACGGAGTACGATATCTTCTGGTCGGTTTTGTTGTTGGTCTAAGCCTCCATCTCGATCTCAAGAACCGCCTTTCATGAAATCTGACTCGGGATTTGCTACTGTCCGTTAAAAATACAGCGATGGTAAGCAGCGTTAAAATTCCAAAAACAAATAGAATATTTCTGTTCATCGTGAGATTACTTAGTTGCGTCTTCAATAAGGTGAAATGTATCTGTTGAAAGAAAAAAAGAGAAAACTTGAAAAAAAGGGTCTTGTTCGTTAATTTTCTCCTAAAAACGACTAACTGCGTGCATGAGTGATAAAATGGTAGTGCTATTTATGTTCTTAATTTTGGAGATGTTATGGATGTTTGCAGTTTGTTAGTAGCCGTTTATGTTTGTGTGTGTGTGTGTCGTCACCCATGCGCAATTCTCCTACCGGGGCAAAGCGTATGTTTCGTTGTCTTGTATTAACACGAACTGAACTTCGCAAGTGAAGTAACAGAAGACTGTGTAATCAATATTATTTTAAAATACCATTGGCAATTGGTAACAACATGTCCAAAGCTTTCTGTTAAAATCTCGCAACCGACTGCCCTTATTAGGTTTTTCACATGGTCGCTTATTGCGCTTTTCACAAACATGCCTACTCTAAAGTTCAAAAGCCGCCTTCACAATTCATAATTAATTACGATCACAAGCAACTAACCTTGAAACACAGAAACACACAAAACGGATCGAAACCCACCAATCACAAATCAAAAACCATGACCTTTGGAACCCGTTAATGTAGAGTTTTGTTTCCTAAGAGGTCGGTTTAGATGATCGACGGCAGCGAAAAACGCAATCGTCAGTTGGCTTTAGAAAAACAGAATTCGCACGTTTGTGAAAAGCGCAGTAACGCCCACTCTCTTGAACGATCAGCTCAAGTTGCGACCACTTTATGAATTCGAGCCGGTGTGGTCGCTTACGAAAGCTTTTATAATCCTAATCCTTCTTGAGGATAGATAATACGCGCAGAAATTTTCATCTTGTTTACATGCACCTCACCCACCCTCTTTACGAATAGCGTGGTTAAGAGTTAAATATCCGCCAAAGGGCGGATGTATTACCAGCATTCGATGATTGCTTAAGTCGACTATATAAATATGATTGTAATATTACGCTGGAAAATTCTACCAGTGATATCTCGCCAGAGTTGCATTATACTGGACTAATGAAAGTCAAGTAGCACTGAGTAGAGTTCGAGTATTAACCTAAGGCCGAAATAGTGGTATAGGTTAAATAAAGATTACAAAATTTATTTAAGTCATTAGTCAAAGAACGAGCCAGATGTTTTTTCGGAGTAAGCAGTATTTACCGTAGACCAATCAAAATCGCGGATTACTCGCCTTTGTCCGGACTGCGGCGGAAAATAGTTTAACAAACGCCTTCTTCAAAACTCGAGAACGAACAATTGACAAGCCCAAAATCATTTTAGAGTGGACTCTTCTAGTTTTTTTAATATAACCTTGTTGAGTTATTGAACAGAGATCGGAAATGTTGATGTTTTAACGTAATTTCATCTACTCCTTTTGCCACCGTAACATCAGCCAGTGTTACTTAGAGAAAACCAGGAACCCCCGAAATACTTTTCTATTTCTTATTTATGAACGTCTTTTCGAAATCAGTTAGTATTATTTTCAGATTGGAAGGATATAAAAAAACGCGAGAGCTTAAAAAAAAACTAGTTCTGGGCCAGGATTAAATATTACTAATAACCGTTCAAAAGTGAATTAAGGCATTAAAAAGTTTCACTCGCTCTCTCATTTTCATCAAAAGTGTGCTTATTTTGTCTGTACTTAATTTGTGCAATTTTGTTTTATTGCTTTGTTTTGTTTTTTGGCTGCTTATGGTTAGAATTACCCCGCACCGAGATCCTTTTGATTGCTGACACACGGTTTTATGGTTACAGTGAATTTCAATCATAAGAGAAACCACACATGTGCAACGTACTCAAAGTCTGTGAAATATTGAAGCGTGCGGACGAGTCAATGCATTAAACAAGATGTGACACTACAAAATATAGCTGCCTAATACCACTTTTTGTCACTCCTGATAATCAAAAAAATAAAGTTATATTCTTACTTGTTAACAAGCATTCGTGATCTTAGACTGTAGGAACCCAATTACCCCTGAACTAATAAAAATGAGTTACCTTTGTGACTTCGTTAACTCTAATACCAGTCCGATCGCTTGCTTCTGCGATTTCGTTAATGAGAAGTTCCACCGCTCGTTACTCCTCCCGTTTTGTTTGAGGCGCTAATTTTTACCACAGTTTTATAACAGCTTCAACACGTAGGCCTGGAAGTGACGTGTACAAGATATCAGTTCCTCAGTGCCACATTTTCACCTCTCTTTTCCTTCGATGGTGCTTAGTCTGGCTGTGGCCATCCGCTTGAGGGAAGCAAGTTGTCAATAGTACATTTGGTAAAAGCCCCTTTCGGCGATTATCTGAACACCAGGACAAACGCCTTTCTTAGGGAAATATGCCAGCACAAAAGACCCACCAGACCAATATCCTTCTAAATGTGATCTTTACAGAGCAGATGTTAGCTTTTAGAATGATGAAAAAATTGTTAAACCCTGCGGAAATACCTGATTGTTTAAAAACCTCAGGGAAAAGAGGATGAAAATTCCTTAATTAACATTTTTCTTGGTATTAGTTGAAAGGCGATATCATAAATTTTGTATCTGGATTACGATAAAAGTCAATATTTAAGCTGCCTTAAATTTTACTTAGCGACCGGATAAAAGTTAGAAAGTTAAGTGCTCTTGAAAATAACTAAACCGCTGAGAAATGAAGAGATCTACGTTTAATCGCCTAGTTGGTTAAGCCACTCTTATCATTGTTGAATGCAGTATAATTTCCTTTTCTCTGTTGTTTTGTCCGGTAGAAAGACTTGAAAACAAATTAAGCAGAGCACTGACTGCATTAACGCTCCTATTAATTTATAGCCAGGGAGAATTACGAAGATTACGGAACAGCGAGGCCATCAACCGACAATTCTTAAGTCGAGAGGGATCATAACTAAAGCAAAGAGACAAAGAAGCTTGAGATTTTTTATTCATTTTTTACTGCTAAAAAATGTTACCTTTTTTGCCTAGTTCGCCGATCAAAATCAATGTTTGTTTTAGTTTATCGGGCGATCAAATCATTAATGATAACAAAACGCGCGATAATTTCAATTGTGAGATTAAGGCTATGAAGACAGATTGTTCTAGAGCATTGCATATTTCCGTTATACAAAATAAAAAGTACGCTTGACATTGCAGAAACCTTTTAGTGTTTTAGCCGTTCAATCATAAAAATTAAATCCGAGGTTTTAATTTTGACCCAGCAAAGCGGCTGTCACTTTTTTAGTCTTAAGTTCATAAGCGATCTTAGTTTGTCGCGAAAGAAAGCCTTGTTAATCATCGATTTATATAAAACTGAAGATGAGTATCGAATCCTAACACCCGAAGGGCTAGCCGCCTTGACTCGCATTAAGTATCTACATAAGTCTTTTTTTTTTTCTTTTTTTTGCCAGAAATCATCTTGTTTGAGACTTTGTATCAGGGAGTATCGAACCAAACGTAAGCGTGTGTTCGGGAGCACGCGAGAAAAGCTAAAGAATCAAATTCAGCAGGCCCAAAGTCCTTTCTACGAACAAAAGATCTAATGAATGAACTAAATATATTTCACAGCAATAGATGTGATTAAGGTGATCGATATTACTCATATATGAATAGTCGTGAAACCTGCCGGAAACTAACTTCTCCATGAATTTTTAGGCGTAAAAATACTTTTTGACAGTTTCACTGTTTTCAAATGTGAAATAATCAAAGAAGTCGGGTTGAAATGACAGGAAACGTCTTTAAAATACGGAAACGCAGCCGAGTTTTGCACAGAATGGTTATGTTTGGCCGTTGTATCCCCCCGCAAAGGGATTTTTAAGCTGAGTTTTTTCATTAGAGAAAAAAATATAATTGTTAATAATTATTTGCCATGCCAGATCGCGGCTATTGTCTGCGCAGTAGTGAATTTATCGGGATAATCAGATCTTGAGGCACGCCTGTCTTGTTTAATTTGTTCTTAGAAGCACTGTAGTAGGTTTCTTTCCTCTTCTTCTTCTCTTTTTTTCTGGGATCCTAAGCTTGGGAATCAATAGTTTAATATACTTCTAGGTATGATCTTCTGTCACGAGAAGTTGATGTAGGATTGAAGCTACTCAGGTTTTTCTTTTTTAATTATATCGGTTTTGAATAACAAAAACAGAACAGCTGCTCTTGATCTCAAAAAAGCTCAAAGTGTTTTGAAATAACCTTTAAGGTCTGGTAGTTTAACTATCTCCGCCTTTTACTGCGAAGCTGACACGCCCCTAACAAACTTTCTTCTTTTAAGGCCACTGACACGTAATAAACTAAGAGCTACATGTAAGAGTAGTATTTTGCTCCTCTGCGTGTGAGTCTTTGACTCAGTTTTAGTCAAATTGTTTTACTCACCTTCGCTGAGGACTTGCCACGTTAAAGCTTAACAGGGTGACCCTTAATTGAAGAAAGCCATGATACGTAATATATCTAGAATAGCTGTATACCTTGTCTAAGGAGGAACATCGATCATTATTCCTGGAGGAGGTTGTCTTTGATCCGTTCGACAAGCATGCGTATAACGAAGAGCTCCTGTTAATTGCAAAATGACGAGATAAAGAAGGTTTTTTTATCGAATCGGAAACACTACTCGCTTGACGCAAATCATTAGCAATGCTATAAAGGTAAAATACACCAAGCCTTTCTATTCTTATTGATGTACTTTAATTAATGGCTATTCTGATGAACAAAAAATAAGAAAGGAAATTTTGATGTGACAGTATACAAATGACATCCCATGATGGGTTCCATATAATACAAAGGTTTTGTTCAATGTCTGTAGGGATGATAAACAAGAAAAAGGTAAAAACAAAGAAGTCCTATTCTGTAAAGTAATAGCCATTATTATGATTACCTCCTTTGACTTAATGCAGTAATACAACAAAATACCTTAGCCCATTCCTAGGGCCTAGTGTTAAAATGAGGTAGAGGTCTATTCGATGAATAGTGTCTTTCTCGTTAGTATACAGTATATGAGATGTTCCAAGTAGTGTGATCCTCCCATCTGTAACTATAGTTCATGTATTTTGATGTTACCCGGGATCCGTTGGACATACTTCTGCCGTTTTTTCTTAATTGGTCCCAGGGCTCCTATTACTACTGGAATTTTTGCGGCTATTTGGTTTATTAATATTGTTCTGTCGTAATTTACAATAATTTTATCGTAATTTGTAATAAATAATTTCATCGTAATTGACCTGCTCACGACTGAGTTCTCAGTAGCTCAGTGGTTAGAGTATCCAACTGGTGTACGGAAGGTCGTGGGTTCAATTCACATAAAGAATTTTTTTCTGTGTTCTTCTCCCCACACATATCATTTCATTTATCATTAACTTTGTCATGATTTGTAATAAAAAAGCTGTCGTAATTTGAAATAGAGCGGTTTTCACTTGACTGTCGAAAGTAATTGAGGAATTGGTTTGGTTTTGGTTTTACTACGCCCTTTGGTTGGCTAGTGTATTTACTAATTGGTTTTGGTTTTACGACCGTCAAGTGAAAACCGCTCTAAGATTCAAGGCTTGTTTTTCGAGTGGTTTTTGCTCGAAGGGGACAGTACAAGGTTGATAAAATAAATCAACTCTTTTTTTAGGAGCAACCTGTTAACTATTTCAAATGAAAATGTTGCATGAAAAAACGAGTAAGGGCAATCTGTGCAAGCTATCTCAGACTGAGACTCCTGTAAAGAGTTTTAAATTTTAGTGCAAGTTTACCAATTGAAAATAATCAGTCATTCGGACCACCTTTCAAGTTCTATTATGCCCTGCTGTTGTCAAAAACAGGTGATAAGTACATTTATACGCCAAAGTTAATAACAACAAAGATGATAATAGGAATAAATAAATCTTTACTTTGTCTTTTATTCTCAGAGGGAGTTTCGCGTGTTCTTCAGCTACCCTGGTGGAGGGGTGGAACAATTTTGGACCAACTTTCCTCCTTTTGTCGGTTTGACATGTTCCTTCATGTGAACTGATCCAAACCGGGGGGTAGCGTTGCAGAGGGTGTAATTGCCAAAATCCCTCCTGTAAAAGCCGGAAAGACACCGAATCTGAATGCACAAGCGAAACCATACGAAAATATTGTTAAATGTAATTGTTTTCAGTGGATTTATTGGCCTTAAAAAATGAGACACTAGCTTAAACTACTAAAAATTGGACAGTTGTATGCAATTTCAGTTTTATAGGAACTCATTTCCAAAGTGACCAAAATTTCTCGTCGAAACAAGATACTTGCAATGATATACCTTGCAAAAAGCTAATTAGCATTCACCAAAACTAAACAAATATTACAATGAATTAACTTCAATAGGACATGGCAGATTTTTTAAAACAAAAATTAGCTTCATTCAAACCCGTTCCGACTGTAAGAAAACAAGTCTATTTTTTGCAACTCAGCATTGTTTTGCGTTAAATGTGCTACATTTTTTCCCAAAAAAAAAACGAACAACGGCAAACCAACCATACCCACTCCGCTTCAACTTCAGCCATGCACAGTGGAGCGTTTTTTAGCTTGAACTTATTCTATGTACGTCTAACACGTAATCTCCCAACTGGTTGAGTTTCAGCCTAACCTAAGGCGTGGGCCCAGCCGGTGCCTAGGTCCTATCGTAAATAATATACCAGGTAAAACTGAATCAAAAAATTTGAAAATATTAGTACAAGTCACATGATCTGATTAAAATTTATTACAAATCACGACAAAGTTATTACAAATTACAACAAAGTTCTTAAAAATTGAGACAGGCATTAAAATTGCGACAAAGTTATTACAAATTACGGCAATTATTACAAATTACGACAGAACAATTATTATTATCATTATTATCATTATTATTATTATTATTAAATATATGTTGATAAAATTAATATTGGGAATGGTCAGCAATTCAAAAAAAGTCTCAGTTTTATGAAAAGAATGATGATGATTTTTAAATAGAAGGAAATGGTGACCTTTTCATGGTTACTCCAGTTTTGTTTTAGTTTAGATTGCTAGCAATCTCTTATTTTAATTTTCTTTTGAGTAATCACTCATCCTTTCTACCCCCAATTGAGATAATTTTACTTTTTTCCCGCCCGCACTTGGCTCTGAGGAAAGAATGACGACCGCTTGCGGTCTAGTTCT